CCTGCTGAAACTTATTAGAATTCCTAGCTATACATTGAATTAGGACAGGACAGTAAGAGAGGTTTATGAAGAGACTCTTTCTAACTCTACTCATGTTCCAGGGATCAAAAACAGAAGAAAAAAAATGTTCCTGACTGCTTGCCATTATTAAAGAATCAGAAAAGTTCAAGACAGTCCACAACTTAAGATCCTGACAATGGATTTTTGAGAGTGTTTTGATTTAAGTTAAATTAATGGAGGCATTAATTTAAAGAAGTGCTGATGCTAATGTAACTAAGATTTTTCATTTAAAATGTAAATAATGTGACTAAACCTCTATGGTATTAAATATCTTGAATGTCTTATTCAGACTCAGTCTATTCTAAAAATCCTTGGTTTTCAAAACAGAAAAATACATGTCATATATGCAGTGGAAAGGAATTTTAACTCATAGTTCTCAAATGAATAGGAGACAAATAACTTGTGAAGACAAGAAACAAATATGAAGAAAAATCGTAAGATTAAACAAAAAACAAAAACCAATTTTACAAGTTTGTCAAAAGTTGTAATAACAAAGAAAAAGAATGGTCTCAAATTTTCCTTTTTAACCACCTTGAACATTCATATTATTCATTTCTTAAAAGAAGGCCTAGATGGAATCTATGATCAAACCTCAACTAATATTACTATAAAAACAATTTTTGATGAAAGATTAAATGCTTTCCTTCTAAGATTAGGAACAAGGAAGGGATGTCTGTTCTCACCATTTCTATTCAACTCTGTATTGTAGATTTTAGCTAATGTAGTAAAGCAAGAAAAAACAATAAAAGAAATCCAGATCAGAAAGAAAGAAGGAAAACTGTCTTTATTAGATGACAATCATTGATGTAGAAAATCCTATGAAAGCTACTAGAATTAATAACTGAGTATAATAAAACTGTAAGATTCAAAGTAAACACATAAAATTTTAATCATCTTTTTATATATTAGCAATGGATAATCAAAATAAAAATTTCAATCAGTGGTCACCTGAGGACTGAAAGAAAAAGGAAAGGTGGGGGAGGAGGGTGATTTCAAAGGAACAAAGGGAAACGTTTGGGGTGATAGTTTCATTTCTCTTAATTGTGATGATGGTTTCAGAAGTGTAAGAATGTAAAATTTATCAGATTGTACACTTCATATATGTATAGTTTACTGTATGTTAATTACAACTCAATAAAGCTGTCAAATGTTTTTTTTAATGGCAAACGGGGTACGATGAAAGATTAATTTATGGCTCTAAATTGTACTCTTCTTAACTAATAACTGAAGTACGTTGGTCAAAGTCAACTGTATGGGCAAAAATAGTAAAATAATCAATTCTTTACAAAACTGAATTACTTCTTCAGCAGAGATGCAAAAGCAAATGAAATTACTAGTTCACATTCACGATGTTTTTGATATGGGTGACTTCTGGACAAGTGAATTACATCTAAGAAAAGTATACTGGAAAATGAACAATCATACCTTGATTTGTGCAAAAGGTCTTTCATAACCTCCAACATAGAGAAGGCCAACATTCTGAGGAAGTAACCTATAAAGGAAAAACAAAAGGATTATTTTTAAAATACTCTTCCTTAAATATAAGTTTAAAAAATCATCAAAAGTTATATAACAGATATTGTGAAAAAAATAGCACCTATGCAATTATTCTTGTCTTTTGCACTATGGGATAGTAACTAATAAAGGAATAATTCTTATACTTCAGAAAATAAGGGGTAAATGTTGAGAATGAAAACTTAAATGTAGAACACTAACATATTAGTAATTCTAGCAAATTACTATATAGTATCTCTGGGGGAGAATTAAACAAAGTGATGTATATATTTAAAAGTCTATAAGGATTCAACTCAAGAAACACTCATTATATGTCTATACTTTGCACTAAAGGAGATAACACAAACCTAAATAATTAGGTCTCAAAATCCAAAAGGAAAACCAGATACATAAATAATTAACCTTAACAAAAAGTGGTTTCCCATAAGTTCTATTTATAGAGGTATATGCCATTGCAAAGTTCTGGGGTAACAGATAATGGCTATGCAGACATCTGGAAAAGTTTGAAAAGGTAGGGTTTGGGATCAGCCTTAAAGGGTGGGTAAGGCAAGGGAGAAATTTAACAAAGTCCTGAGAATGCAGGTTTGCGAAAAAGAATAGACAAGGACAGCTAGAATAAGGGATAATTTAGTTAGAGATGAAAAACCAAAGGACATTTGGAATGGACCATGAACAATGTCAAATGCTATATCTTTATTTTATAAGCAATATGGAGTCATATTTTTAGAAGATGAACTTACTGTACTTATTTCTTATTAAAACAATAAATGAACATGAAAATAAAAATCAAGCCATATAGTGGGTGGAAAAAAAATAATGGTTACCTTTCCTGCATCATCTCTACCTTCCTATTCCCATTTCAAAGGTTCATCATTCTTAACTGCATTAAAACATTGTGAATGAAGAAATACTATCATTAGAACTGTACTTGTGAGTGTGTAGTGGTGCAAAGTAGGAGAAGAACATAATTAAAGTAAATATTCTGTGTTTATCTCATCTTTCATCATAAATCTTTCCATAGTAGACACTGAATATAGACACTGAATAAATGGACAAAACTCCAGTCTTAACATTACTGTACATAAAGAATATGGAAAAAAATTGTCTATACTCCTGCCCAAAGCAACTAGGACAAGATATAGTCTCCTCAGAGTGTGAGGAGTAAAAGTAACAGACTTTTATTGCAGGTGAAAAATTATCTCTAGAATGAATGTAAATTATATTGCATGAATCTAGAATGGAATACCAAGTAGTATCTAAAGTGAAGGGAAAAACAACTTCTCTGAACTTAGGATGCCTCAGATATCCTATGGTATCTTCTAATCGAGGTGACAGTTGTGAGGGGGCAGTGTGATGACCTTCCACTGACTCGATCTAGTAAGACTAAGAAAGCACACTCTCAAAGCACCTTAGATTTTATAAAGTAAGGTAGATATTCAGTCTTCTAGGAATATCATGTGTTCCCCGACATTCTTTAAAGGTCTATAAAGCATTGAAGGCCAATAAGAGCATGTTAACAGTTGATGAACACAATCCTGAATTAAACCAATTTAGCAAAAAAACTACTTAACTTTGGAATATAAATACTTGTTTTAATTCATTTATTATGTTGTTGAAGGATATAAACATGACTAAAGGCATTTGTTTACTGGATGCAAGTAGAAAGCATAAGAAATGTCCTCAAATCTCAACTATAAAATGGAAAATTTCTTAGCCATCAATTGATAAATAAGAAATTAATCCAACCAACAAAACTTTAACTCGCAAATCATTGCTAGTATCATAAATTTAATGTTAGTTAAATATAGCACTGGTAATTTATTTTCTATATAAAAAATGTTCACAAAAAACTTGATAAACCTCTTTAGATATAAGAATAGTCATTTTTCATTCAAATATATGCTAAAAAAAGAAGAAACTAAAAGCGGGCTGACATTAAAAAATCAATATGCCTCTAATTACTATGCCTATGCATTTCAGAAAGCTTGCCAATACTGTTTACTGTGTCCCCCTTCCTCTAACTTGCCTAACTATTAAATACCTTTTCCTAAGCAAGAATTTTTTTAAATATATCAATTACAAAGCATACATGTATTTCATTTTTTAAATACTGTCCTTTCCCATTCATGTGTCTATTATTCCTTACCACAGATTATATTACCAGCATCATTTGAGTGGGTTTTAATATGTATCATAATTTAAAGACCTGCTATGGGTAAAATAATTAATACTTTGAAAACACGAATTCCTACTTTTAAGATGGAACATTTGTTTAAATGTGCTCACCTTTCAAAAAGTTGCTTTGTCAAACTGTACATATAATTATTTTCAAATAATAGTCACCACTTATGATGACAGGGTTCTTGTGTATAATATAGCAAATCACATTTTAAATCCTCAGAATAAGACATTAATTCAGCACTGATTTCTTTGTGTCTAGACACACACACACACACACACACACACACACACGTTAAAATGGAAACCCTAACTCATTTAGAACCAGGTAATTGTTTTGCCCGTGAGTTGCATGACAATTAACATAACCATTACACGAATTAACAATTCCTAAGATATTTGCTTGTAACTAAACGCTTCTATAGTGTGGCTACCAAAAAGGCTGGAAAGTAGTAATAAGAAGGCACTGTTAGGTTAAAAAAAGAAAGAAAAATGATCTATTAGAGCTTTTGAAAAAGTAAAGATAGGCAAGACTATTTTCCTAATTTCTCAAGTACAAATATTAACAAATATCTATACTGGAAAGAAAGCTGCAAAATTATTTCCAGAAAAGTTTCTCACATACAGGAAAAATAAAACTTATCAAGTAATAAAATAACACTATTTTAAAGAACTTCATTTACCATAAACTGATGATATATCAGACATAGAAATAATGCTTTGAAAAGAAACTGACTATAATTATTTCAAATTCAAAGTTTTAAAAAAAGAGAAGGGGATCTTTTTAAAAATAAGAATAGACTAGATAACTTAGAATTAACTGTTCTGTCTACAAGTCTTAATTACAATGCCCAATAACAGATATATTTTTAAACTACAACAAAATATCTTGAAAAAATTTACAGTATCTTTGAGTACTAATTTACATAAAATCCCTCTTCTTAGCTAAACATCAAGCTCTCCAAAGAGCAGACTACATCTAATAATAATCTACTGCCAGGAAAAACAGACAAAACAAATGCATTTATTATGAGATCAATAGTGCCCTTTGGAATTTGAGAAAATGCATGTTATTGAGAAGACCTACATTCTTTGAGACTTCTGTAGGATGTAAACAAAAGCAAGGTAAGCCCTTAGGCCCAAATAAAACTTGAGTGACCACTGAGTAAATTTATCATTATCCTCAGAGACTCCTCACACTTTTCTATTCTAGTTTGCATTTTAAATCCTAATACAGGTATGACAAATGCTACAAACTTTTGTAAAAAAAAACAAAGAAAAAAACACTACCACCACCAACAACATGTTTAAATAAAGATTCTGTGTGCCAACAGAAATAAATTACCTAAAAATGATGTTTGGTTAAGTGAAATATATATATTGAGTAAAATAAATAACAGAAATAAGTAAGACTGGGGAAGGATAAATAAGATTCTGAAGTAAACAACAGAAAGCTAAGTCATTTTGCAAAGGTATACAAGAATACTCAGCTACCAATATTCAGAGAATACCCTATCTTACACTATACACAAAAATCAATTCAAAATGGATTAAAGACTTGAACATAAGCCCTGAAACCATAAACTCCTAGAAGAAAACATAAGAAAGGGGTGAGCTTCTTCACATTTGTCTTAGCAATGATTTTTTGGATTTGACACCAAACCCAAAGACAACAAAAACAAAAGAAAACAAGTGACACTACATCAAACCAAAAAGCTTCTGCACAGCAAAGGAAATAATCGACAAAATGAAGAGGTAATCTACAGAATGAGAGAAAATATTTACAAATCATATATCTGATAAGAAGTTAATAACCAAAACATATAAAGAACTTAAACAGCAAAAACAAACAAACAAACAAAAAACCCCAAACAATCCAATTAAAAAAGGGCAGAGGAACTAAAAAATTCAAGTCAAAACTGCAATGAGATATCTCCTCACACCTGTTAGAATGGCTACCATCAAAAGACAAAAGATAATAAATGCTGCCAAGGGAACCCTGGCACACTGTTGGTGGGATTATAAACTGGTGCAACCACTATGGAAAATATTATGGAGTTTCCTTAAAAAAATAAATGTAGGACTACCATATGATCCAGCAATTCCATTTCTGGGTACATATTTGAAGGAAACAAAATCACTATCTGGAAGAGATACCTGCATCTCCATAATCATTGCAGCAGTATTTATAATAGGCAAGACAAGGCAACAACTTAAGTGACCACAGATGTATGAAGCAAATGTGTGTAAGGAATATTATTCAGCCATAAAAAAGAAGGAAATCCTGACATTTGCAGCAACATGGATAGCTCTTGAAGGCATTATGCTAAATAAGTCATACAGAGAAGGACAAATATTACGTGATCTCACTTATCTATGAGACCTAAAAAAACCAAATTCATAGAAACAGAGACTAGATTGGTGGTTGCCAGTGGGGGAGGTGGGGGGTGAGGAGGGAGAATGGGTGATGGTAACCAAAGTTACAAACATCCAGTTATAAGATAAATAAGTTCTGGAGGTGTAATGTACGGCAAGGTGACTAGTTAACAATACTGTACTGTATATTTGAAAGGTACTAAGAGAGTAAATCTAAAATTTCTCATCACAAGAAAAAAAAATCTGGAACTACATGAGGTGATGGATGTTACCTATTAACTAAACTTATTGTGGTAATTATTTCACAAATCATTACATTATACACCTTAAACTAATACAATGTTCTATGCCAGTTATACCTCAATAAACTCAGGAGAAATATTTGAAAAGAAAACATTATTCAGACACTGAAAGAAATGACTG